CTATTCAGCTGGATGGTATTCTCGTCATCAATATCATTCACTGAGATCAGTTGATGATGCGCAAAGGAAGAAAATTCTTTTATCCTTTTAATTTTTGAATGTTTAACTCATTTATTCAATTCATCGAGGACTTCTTGGGAATTACATTGATTCTATTGTTGTAGGTTCGAAAGATAAAAGAAAGGCTGTTGGAATGAGCTTTCAAAGTAGAAATGATCTACAGGAATGGAGTGCAAGAGTTGTTGAGCGAGGAACAGTAATGGACTTTGACCTAAATTTCCCACCTCCAGATGAGTGCATTGATCCAACTGGCCCTCATCAGGAAGCAACACAGTACTACAATCATTACCAAGGACAAGCTATGGACAATCCCGAGTTTGTCGACGAGGACATAGCTATAATCTCCCCTAGGAAATTTGCTGAGGTATGTGATATTTTGGTAAAATAATTTGAGCGTGTTTCAAACTAGGCCATATAAGAGGATTAACATGGTGACAAATTTTTTAGGCCAGGAAGAACTTTCGACGAAACCACTTTGAGAGTAGCTGTGGTGTTGCCATTAGACGTAATGGTGCTTTCTCAGGTTTGTAGCCTTTTCTTTTATAAGCCTTAAGCTTCCCTATTTGCATTTCAGTTGTTGATTATCTCTCAGGTAGTCTATCTACGTTGCCATTTCCCAATATTTTCTGCCTTTCTGGCAAACTTGAGATGTTCATTGAGGATGTACTTGCATTTTTGGATCATCCTTTTTACTTTTTCAGTCTGGCTAGTCTTCTATATTCTGGATTCAAAAGACTGCAGTGCATATTATGATCATATTTAGTTAGGTAAGAGGAGTTCTATGAGATCTCACATCGGTTGGAGAGGGGAACGGAACATTCCTTATAAGGGTGTGGAAACTTCTCCCTAGTAGACGCGTTTTAAAACCGCGATGCTGATGGCAATACATAATAGACCGAAGCAGACAATGTCTACTCATGGTGGTCTTGGGCTATTACAAATGGTTTCAAAGCCAGACACCGGGTGGTGTGCCAGCGAGGACATTGGGCTCTCAAGGGGGGTAGATTGTGAGATCTCACATCAATTGGAGAGGAGAACGAAGCATTTCTTATAAGGGTGTGGAAACCTCTCCCTAGTAGATGCATTTTTAAACCGTGAGGTTGACGGCGATACGTAATGGGCTGAAGTGGACAATATCTACTAGCGGTGGGCTTGGTCTGTTGAAAGTTTCAATTTTATGAAATTAGATTTCCAAGTTCTTAGCATGCAGCCTATTGTGTTAAAGTTTTTCATATCTTGTCATTAGGACTACTTTGCTTCCTCAGTATGGAACCAAGCATGAGGACAACAGTGAGATTAATTAACAAATTTATTATCGTTTGTTACCCTGTTGCCAATCTGCATATGTTTTCTTACTAACCCGTCTTCAACTATTTTGCAGATTTATCAAGTTTGGCCCCTTTTACAATTTGGCCGACCCTTACAAGCCGCAATAACGTATCTATACAAGAACAAACGATTCACAACTTGGACCTTTGCTTAAGCTGTGAAAGCAGTAGTAAAGCCACAAAGGTAATACTGATTGAACGGGTTACTATTTGCTTTCAAATTTTCGGAGTTGCCTTGCCTATTCATTGTTCAAATCTTTGGCTGCCGTTTTTCTGTCTATATTGAAACTGAATATATGTGTTCTGAAGAATTCAGAGTCCATTTGATAAAAAAAATTCATAATTAGTCGTTGTTTTAGAAAAATGTGATCGTTTACCGAAGATTTATTCTCTTTTTTGCTAATAGAAGTATTAGTCAAATGGGAAAAAATGAAAAAGAACTTTTCGGAACCACTGTTTTTAGTTCAAATACACTTTCAGCTAGCGAGTATGTTCCGTTATCTGTTTATCTCCTTGATATCAATTACGTGGTGGAAATATAGCAGCGAGCAGCTCTAGGAAAATGTTCCTTCAAGTTTTGATCCATAAAGCTAAAAAAAACTGTTTGATTAATCGCCTGTAAATTTGGATTATCATTTAGTTGCACGTTCCTCTCAGGGTTGAACTGGTCTAATCGAAGTCCTTCTCCGGTGCAAACCTCCCAAACAATATGTTACATAGTTTTCTAGAATAGTTTTTTCTCTTCAGATGCTGTCATTCTGCTGTGGCTTATAATATGATCTACGTAGAATTTGCTTCATCTTGTGCAAGTTTCTGTAAAGACCATGTATTGTTCTTAGCCAAGATTGCCATTAATGTGTTGGAGTCAAATTTGTACTTCTTAGCTTCATTCATTCCTTGGAAAAACTAGTTTTCCAATGTGCGGCTACCGTTTTAATCGTTGGAAGTACGTGAATAATATTTTTTCTCGCACATCCAACGGTATAAATCTGACAGTCATATCGTGCCAGCATTCTTTCCATCTATCAGTGAAATTGCCACGGCACGAACTTGGCCAATTGTTTTGGCGAACTCGTAACCAACTTAAGACCACGAAACATTTAAGATCGAATCCCTAATGAGGTTATATCTGAAGTAGATATTTGATGTTTCTCAATCTTATGCAGTTCACTTGGATTTTGCTAGTATTACATCATTTAAACATCTGATTAAACATCATTTTCCATCCCGATTTCTTTCTTAGAGCTTGAAACTAACTGTAAACTCTGTTATTGCAGGCAACAATTGACACAGGCATCCCTTCTGCACTTGCACAAACTAGCAGCAGCCTCCCACCTGCAGCATCCTCGGGTTTGCGGTGCGCAATCTGCATGGAAGCATTGGTTGAAGAAACAACAACCAAATGTGGGCACGTTTTCTGCAAGAGTTGCATCGAAACAGCCATAGCTACCCAGCACAGATGTCCTATATGTCGGCGTAAGCTTCGAAAACGAGATATTATCCGAATTTACCTACCGTTTTGAACATGAAAATATGAATACAAATAAAAGAATATTGCATCTGTATTCTTTTTCTGATGACGACTAGGCTTGTACTACTTGCACACAGTTGCATTAACAAGTATAGATTTCTTCATTTCTTTGTTCTTCTTCTTCTTCTTCTTCTTATTCGTCATCTGTTGTATTGAATCGAAACTACAAACAAAAATTTAAAAATCTCTTTGGTGAGGTGTTTGTTTGTTTGTTTGTATTTGGTTGGATGATTCATTCAAAATTGTTTATTTATTAGTGAATTAATTTGAAGTGCAATGAATTGGCTTTTGGCTCTCTTACTGCTTGTGTCTTGTGGCTTATCAACCTTTTACATTGCTTCTTTATGTCTTTGTATCTTAGCCTGAAGGCGTTTCCAGTTGTCCTGCCTATAAACATTCACTCTTCTTTCTTTAAAGAAACTGGGTAGGTTTTATGGAAGTTCATCCCGCTATGTCTCGGGCCTATTGCTCTTCTAACGTAAAAGGTGGCGGGAAGAAGAGGAATTAAGAAGAACGAGAAAAAGAATCTAAAAAATAGGTGAAGACTAGGAAATTTTCAACCGATATTGATGTCATTTATAACCGTTCAAGCCTATTATTGGACGATATTGTTTGTCATTTGTAACAGTTCAAGCCTATTATTGGACGATATTGTTTGTCACGTATCGTTGTTAGCCTCATGATTTTAAAACATGTTTATTATTATGGAGAGAGTCTAGTCTTATTCCGACTAGTGTCTTGCAACACGTCTACCATGGTAGGGTCTAGCCCTACTCCCGACCAGTATCTTGCACCTCATGATTTTTAAATGTGTCTATTAAGAATAGGGTCTAGTTCTATTCTGACAAATGTCTTGCGACGCGTCTACTATGGAGATAGTCTAGCCTTACTCTCGACCAGTGTCTTGCACCATTGAGTAGATACCCTTTGTATTATAAATATTATTCTCTTTGAGTTTTCCATTCTAAACTTTCCCTTCAAATTTTTAAAATACGCTCGCTAAAAAGAGATTTTGTTTCTCTCTTCGACTGATGCGAGATATTACCATCCTTGATTCTTTAAATTACTTTTTGTATGGTGAAAAATAACATAATTTAGAATAAAATTTATTGATAAATAATCAACAAGTTACGTTCTCTGAAATGAATCCCAGAGAAGATAATCTAATTAAAACAACAGACAAAAATTATTGACTTTTCCAAAAGGAGTTTGACTTTGGAACGTTTTTATTTTTAAGAATCTTTAAACTTTTGACTTTGAACGTTGAGACTCATGCTGGTTGACTTTTCCTTATCTTACTCTATACTGCATTTGTTTTCTTTATATATATTATTGTCACATTATCCTGATAATTTGAAATATAATATTTTATAATTTAATATATTATATTATTGACCCAAATTATAATTCTAAATTTTTTTTCTCCACATGTTTAGTTATATTTGAGTTAGTTTATTGATTAAATAATTAAACATGGATCATTTCTAAAATTTATTATTATTATTATTATTATATAAATTATGTTCTCATATAATTTTTTTCTTCCCATGTTTATGTTTTTATAATTATAATCAATCATACAGATTTTAAACTTGCTCAAATTTTACGGGACTAATACGTTGTTGATATTAATTAAAAAAAAATATCAATATATTAAAATGGAAAGATTATATATATAAATAGAATATTACAATAGATTATATATATAAATTTTGCACGACTACTATCCTTACCATTAAAAATTTTACGTGTTATGTTGAAAGGGCTAATATGTTCGCAATATTAATTAAAAAAAATTAATATATTAAAATGAAAAGATCATATATATATATATATATATATATAAATAAATAAATTAGGTTGGTTGGGTGGAAGATTAAGTTAAAATTTGAAATTTTAAAACCGAATATTATAATATAAAATATATATTATAATATTCTTTCAAATAGTTATATTTAGAATTATTATTTAGATTTTTTTTTTCAATTGGAAATAAATTTAAATAATAATAATAATAATAATAACANCTCTCTTACTGCTTGTGTCTTGTGGCTTATCAACCTTTTACATTGCTTCTTTATGTCTTTGTATCTTAGCCTGAAGGCGTTTCCAGTTGTCCTGCCTATAAACATTCACTCTTCTTTCTTTAAAGAAGCTTGGTAGGTTTTATGGAAGTTCATCCCGCTATGTCTCGGGCCTATTGCTCTTCTAACGTAAAAGGTGGCGGGAAGAAGAGGAATTGAGAAGAACGAGAAAAAGAATCTAAAAAATAGGTGAAGACTAGGAAATTTTCAACCGATATGAGATTTCACAATCTACCTCACTTCGAGGCCAATGTCTTCACTAGCACACTACTCAATGTCTGACTCTGATGTCATTTATAACCGTTCAAGCCTATTATTGGACGATATTGTTTGTCATTTGTAACAGTTCAAGCCTATTATTGGACGATATTGTTTGTCACGTATCGTTGTTAGCCTCATGATTTTAAAACATGTTTATTATTATGGAGAGAGTCTAGTCTTATTCCGACTAGTGNAGAGAGTCTAGCCCTACTCCCGACCAGTATCTTGCACCTCATGATTTTTAAATGTGTCTATTAAGAAGAGGGTCTAGTTCTATTCTGACAAATGTCTTGCGACGCGTCTACTATGGAGATAGTCTAGCCTTACTCTTGACCAGTGTCTTGCACCATTGAGTAGATACTCTTTGTATTATAAATATTATTCTCTTTGAGCTTTCCGTTTCTTTTTTCGACTGATGCGAGATATTACCATCCTTGATTCTTTAAATTACTTTTGTAAGGTGAAAAATAACATAATTTAGAATAAAATTTATTGATAAATAATCAACAAGTTACGTTCTCTGAAATGAATCCCAGAGAAGATAATCTAATTAAAACAACAGACAAAAATTATTGACTTTTCCAAAAGAAATTTGACTTTGGAACGTTTTTATTTTTAAAAATCTTTAAACTTTTGACTTTGAACGTTGAGACTCATGCTGGTTGACTTTTCCTTATCTTACTCTATACTGCATTTGTTTTCTTTATATATATTATTGTCACATTATCCTGATAATTTGAAATATAATATTTTATAATTTAATATATTAT